AACAAAGGATTGCCTTGTTCTTCCCCTGTCTCTGTCGGCCTGTCCTCTTGCCATCCCTGTTGCTAGTAATACTATGGCATATCCATGAAGGACGCCAGATAGGAGGGCTCTGCCCCCCCCCCCCCCCAGCTGCATGAAATCAAGGAGGGAAGGGAATAGGAGAAAATCTCATTTTCCCATATCTCCTTTGGCTAGATCACCCACTAGTGGCCCACATCAACCATGCAGATCTGCTGCTGTTGAACAGCCCATGGAGGATAATTATTTTACCAGGGCCTCAATACTGAGTGTGAGATATCCTTAGGCAGTGGTTCTCAACCTGTAAGTCCTCAGATGTTTTGACCTTCACCTCCCATAAATCCTAACAACTGGTAAACTGGCTGGGATTTCTGGGAGTTGTAGGTCAAAACACCTGGAGACCCACAGGTTGAGAACGACTGGCCTAAGGGATTTTTTTTCCTGCAATGCAACTCATGGAGCTAATTATAAAAGGGACTTGTACATTATAGTGTGGATATTACTACTGTACCCGCTTTTAAAAAATAAAACTATTTCAAACACTAACGTTCTGGTTTATATTTTACCAAGCTTTAATTCAATCACTGAAGTAACTGGGTCACCTGATTAAGTAATAATTAAAGAACAGAACTAGATGTTATCTGCCCCAGAAGATTGTGCACTAACCTGTTCTAGGAATATTTACACATAAGCATGTATGATGAAAGGTTGGTGGCTGTATTGTAAATTTTACTGGAAATTCAATGAAGTGTTCATGAGTGTAATAATAAGGTGCTGAATTGTATATTATTGATGTGTGTAAAGAACAAATACATGGTCAAAGGACAAACACGTTTGTGTTTTTAAAAGGCTTGACCTACATATTTGCAAATATCAGATACTTTAACTGGAAGTAGCAAGGACTGTTCCCAAGTTTCAAAACTGATTAACAAATTATGACAAACGTGTTAAGAATTTGGGTGGAATTCAGAGCTCTGTTTAATATTAAATCCGTAACATGGATAATACTGATAACAAAACAAATCATTTTTGAAGAGAGATAGTGATAATGATGTGGCACACATTTTGAAGCATTTACAGGATTTTGAACAAATTATGAATTTTTAACAAAATTCTTTACTGTGGCAAGCAGATCTGCATAGTAATGACATGCCATTTTGCAAACTTTTCATGCTGTCATAATTTAGTTCTTTTAAAAATGTGTCTTTTAAGAATGTGTCTTGTTTGCTGGCACATCAAAGTATATTTTTCACACTCCAGTTTTAAGGAAGAGATCTATTTGCATTTCTTTCTCAATTCTGTGTTAGTTCAAATATAATGTTTTGGTTAATAGGTCTTGTTTTGCTTTGCCTCTTTTATCTAGTGATACTTCATAATTCTTCTGTCATATGCTGAGAACAAAACAAGAATTATTAGGTTTTTTTTGAAAAGTTTATTAAATGCCATAAGGACCTTTCACATATCTATTTAGAGGTATGCTCAGCTGTGTTCAATGAGACATGTGCAGGCATGGGCAAACTTCGGCCCTCCGGGTATTTTGAAATTGTGGGAGTTGAAGTCCAAAACACCCAGAGGGACGAAGTTTGCCCATGACTGGATTAGAAAAACCTCTTGCTGGCAAAACTATCCTAAGCCTAGATCCTTTTTACATTGAGTATGAGCCCCTTGGAACACAGTTAGCATACCTTGCATTGAGTCTCTTTCTCTGAAAGTCAAATAATTATTCAGGGAAATTGCACGTGTTTAGTGAGGGCCCAGCAACCAGAAACCAACCCTGTGATTCCCAAACTCTTCAGGTTTGGGATTTCAACTCCCAGAAGCCTCAACTACCTTGGCCAAAATACTGAGATGATTTATTTTTTTGGAACCACTATCTACAGGACTGTTAATATGAAATAGTTGCCTTGGGATTCACTATAAACTTGACATAGTTTGACCCCACTTTAACTGCTATGGCTGTATGGAATCATGGGATTTGTAGTTTGGTGGGGCAGTCACTTACAAGGTCTTTGGCGGAGAAGGCTAAAGTTGTAGAATTACAACTCCCAGGATTTCATCGCAGTGAGCCATGGCAGTTAAACTGGGGTAAAACTGCATTAATTCTACAGGGCAGATGGACCCTGGGTGATAATGTATATGTGGCATATTGCATATGCTCAGTAAAGAACTGAAGAACAAGAAACCCAATGGGAAAAAACATAAACGATGTTCCCAAACCCACAACAGTAAGGAATTATTATACCTGTTTATACCTCACTTTTCTCTCTTAAACAAGATTCACACCAGCCCACAGCATTAAAAACAATAAAATTTAAAACCTGGGTTGCTGTGAGTTTTCCAGGCTGCATGGCCATGTTCCAGTAGCATTTTCTCCTGCCATTTTCACCCACATCTATGGCAGGCATCCTCAGGGGTTGCGGGGTCTGTTGAAAACTAGGCAAGTGAGGGTTATATATTTGTGGAATAATGTCCAGGGTGGGAGAAAGAACTCTTGTCTGCTTGAGGCATGTGTAAATGTTGCAATTGGCCACCTTGATTAGCATTTAATGGCCTTGCAGCTTCATACATCAAGGGAACCACTGACCGCATAGGGAAGCTGATGAAGAAGCACAATGTACAAACAATCTACAGACCCACTAAGAAAATCCAACAAATGCTACATTCAGCAAAGGACGAGGGATCCTCTCACATCCACAAGAGTCTACCATATACCATGCAGCTGTGGACAAGTCTACATAGGGACCACCAAACGCAGCGTTGCCCAAGCACAAATCAAGGAACATGAAAGGCACTGCAGACTCCTTCAACTAGAGAAGTCAGCCATAGCAGAGCACCAATGAACCAACCTGGACACAGCATATTATTTGAGAACACAGAAATGCTGGACCACTCTGACCTCATCACACTAGAGGATGAATCCACTTTAAATCCCGTTGCTACCTCCTGCAGAATTCTGGATTTTGTAGTTTAGGGAGGAGTCTTCAACAGCCTCACTAAACTATAAACCCCAGAATTCTACAGGAGGCAGAAACAAGATTTAAAGTGGATTTATTCTCTAGTGCAGGCGTGAGCAAACTTCGGCTCTTGAGGTGTTTTGGACTCCAACTCCCACAATTCCAAACAGCCTACCGGCTGTTTGGAATTGTGGGAGTTGGAGTCCAAACCACCTTGAGGGCCGAAGTTTGCCCATGCCTGCTCTAGTATGACGAAGTTGTAACAGCTACCATGCCGGACTACATAGAGAAGCCATTAAAATCCACAAGCATTTGTACAATTTCAATAGAAAGGAAAAAATCATGAAAATGAACAAAATCTGGCTACTGGTATTAAAAAACTCTAAAATCAGGACCATAAATAAAGAGCAACGCTCTGAAAATAGAAGAATTCCAGATAGGAAACAATCAGGGCCAGCTAACACCTCCCAACAAAGGATTCCCTCAGGCACGAAGCAGCCAGGCTTTGAAGGTGCAAGGCTATTCAATGCTAATTAAGGTAGCCCATTGCAACATTCACACTTGCCTCAAACAGACAAGAGTACTTTCTCTCACCCTGGACATTCCAGATATATAAATTTATTTATTTGTTTGTTTATTTATGACATTTATATGCTGCCCTTCTCACCCCGAAGGGGACTCAGAGCAGCTTACAAAATATATATACATACAATATATTATATTATAGTACAATATCAGTATTATATATTACTATATTGTACTACACCGTTATATTGTAATATTATTTGTAATATTACATGTAACATAAAATATATAATTATAATATTGTATTATTATTAGCAGTATTATATTGTATTACAGTATAATATTATAAATATTATATGTATTGTCAAAGGCTTTCATGGCCGGAATCACTTGGTTGTTGTAGGATTTTTTAGGCTATATGGCCATGTTCTAGAGGCATTCTCTCCTGATGTTTTGCCTACATCTATGGCAAGCATCCTCAGAGGTAGTGAGGATGCTTGCCATAGATTCAGGCGAAACATCAGGAGAGAATCCCTCTAGAACATGGTTGTATAGCCCGAAAAAACCTATAACAAACTAAATATTATATGTATAAGGTAGGTAAAGATTATCCCCTGACATTAAGTCTAGTCGTGTCCGACTCTGGGATGTGGTGCTCATCTTCATTTCTAAGCTGAAGAGCCGGTGTTGTCCATAGACGCCTCCAAGGTCATGTGGCCAGCATGACTGCATGGAGCACCATTACCTTACCGCCGGAGCGGTACGTATTGATCTACTCACATTTGCATGCTTTCGAACTGCTAGGTAGGCTGAAGTTGGGGCTGACAGAGGAAGCTTACGCCGCTCCCCAGATTCGAATGTATATACAATATATTATATTATGTTATGTTATTAGTAAAGTTGCCCAGTTTCCAACAGACCTCATAACCTCTGAGGATACCTGCCATAGATATGGGCAAAACGTCAGGAGAGAATGCTTCTGGAACATGGCCACACAGCCTGGAAAACTCACAGCAACTCACAGCAAGCCTTCGACAACCTACAATGGAAAACCTACAACAAATTAACATTAAGCCAGAATTAAACACAGAATAAAGAGCTAAAATCTCATGAAACTAACCCGGTGATCCCCAAACTCTGGTCCTCAGTGTGTTTTGCACTTCAACTCCCAGATGCCTCAGCCGCCTGGGAGAGTGGTGGAGGATGCTGGGAAAAGAAGTCCAAAGTGCTGAGGATTAGAACCACGTCTTCCTAGCCCCGGGGAGAAGGCCATCCCGGCTTTCCTGATTGGCTCTCCGCTGTGCTCCACGGAGAGCGCGTCACAGAGGTAACACGAAGCAGGCCCCGCCCACCCGCTCTGAACGCCACGTACCTCCGCCCGCGCAACCGCACCTTCATGCCCCGTCCCGCCGCTCGCGCAGCTGAGCGTGGCTGCCTCGCGGCGGACCAATCGCAACCCAACGCGATGCCCAGAAGGAGGGCAGGCTCCGCCAATCCGTGCGCTCTGGGAGGTAGGACCTATTACTATGGCAACGGGGGCTAGGATTTTTTTCCCTAATGCTAGAGAGACCTGCTTCAGCAAAGAGAGAGAGAGAGAGAGAGGAGTGAAAGGAAGGAAGGAAGGAAGGAAGAGAAAGGAGGAGAAAACCGCACCAGTTGTGCTGCTCTGAGAGGGAGGCTCATCAGCTGGTGGCAAAGGCTTTTCCTCAGGATTCTTCTTCTCCCCATCTCCATAGCTATGAAGGTAAGCTAGTCTCCAAACCTGGGGAGCATCTACATTATAGAATTAATGCGGGTTGACACCACTTTAGCAGGCATGGCTCAGTGCTACAGAGCCATGGGAAATGTAGTTTGGTATATTCTGGCAGAGAAGGCTCAAGACCTTAGAAAACTACAACTCACATGATCCCAGAGCATTAAGCCTTGGCAGTGAAAGTGGTATCAAACTGCATTAAGTCTACAGTGGAGACCCTCTTCTTGGACTCTGGAGTTTCTTGTTTGACCCACGTTAACAGCATCCTTGGCCCTCCAGGGGAAGGAAACAAAACAAAAGATGGGCATATGGGAGTTTGCTTGCCTTTTCATTTAAGCTGTGCTAATGATGAGTGTGTCCATGGCTGTGTTATTGCTACTGTAATGTAGGTTTCTTCTTGGTTACTTGGGATGTGGGTCTGTGGGATGGTTACTTGGGATGTGGGTCTGAGCGAAACCGTGAAGGGACACCCAAGACGGGACGGTTGTGGCAGAGAGGTCAGACCAAGCGTGATCCCT